AAAAAAGAAATGATTGTGCTCGGTTTGTCCCTGATTCTGATTTCTGGTTCTTCAATTCTGGTTCTAAACTGTGGGGGGTGATTCAGTGTTCTGGCAGGCAGTGTCAAGATAACAAACCTGTTTAACGGTGCTCTCTGTTTTATCACAGCAGCCACTGCTAACATACTGGTTCGCTTTTATCACAGATTTATCATTTGACTTGGGGAAAACACATAGAGATTTGAGGCACCCTTAATTAAGGAAATGGGGCTCAGTTTGGTATAATATATACAGTGCCTCGCAAAAGTTTTCAGACGCTTCCTATGGTGTCCTGTTTTGTCAAATTGCAGAATGATGCATACCCATTATTTTAAACTATTATCTTTTTAAAAACTGAAGTGTTCAAATTAAAGACAACTATGCACAAGATAGGTTCATGTCCCTAAAAATAAAAAGTGACACAGAAAAATAGTTTGATTTTTATAAGAACCACAAACTCAATATTTGTTGGAAGTGTCTTTTGGCAGCCGCAGGTCCTTTGGGGTAAGTCCTGACCACGGGCTGGGTGCATTTTTTTACCCATTCATCTCGGCAGATTGGCTCAGACTCTCTAAAGCTGCTTATGAACAGGAACTTTCAGGTCTTTTTGCAGATCCCCAGCAGGATTCAAGCCAGGACTTTGAGTGGGCCACTCAAGGACGCTCGCTTTCTCATCCTGAGCTTTGGATCACTATCCTGCTGAAAGGTGAATTTGGTGCTAGTTTTAGGTCTGAAGCAGGTTTTCCTTTAAGATTTGTCAATATTTTGCCCCATATAGTTTGCCGTTAGTCTTGACAAGTGTCCCAGTTGCTCCTGATGAGAGGCAGAACTGTAACATAAATCTGCCCATAGTGATGGTATGTACTGAGTGATGTAACATTTTCCATTTAGACAAGTTCCAATTTCCTGCCTTGTCTGACCAGGGAACGTCTTGCTTCATGAGCAGTATCACTTAGGCACTTTGTTGTAAACCCCATGTGGGATTTGAGCTTTTTCTCTGTCCCTTACAAGCCCCCTTTGTAGAGTGACTGTAATGCTGTTGACTCGTGTCATTTTCTTCCATCTCAGCCACTGAATTCTGTAAGAGCTGGCCTCATGTTGACGACCCTAACCAACTCCTCTTTTCTCTACTTAGTTTGGAGAGACTGCAGCATTCTGTGCTGAGTTTGGGTACCTTTGACATCTTTATGTGGAAATAGAAGTCTTCTTAATTAAGATCTTCAATATATGTTTATACCTTTCTCCTGTTCAGAGCTTTATAAAACTTTAGCCCTGATTTGCTTTGGTGTTCATGGTTGAATCTTGAAATTCAGTAAATGACTGAGATAGCTTAAAGAGCTAGTTATAATTCCAAAATCACAATTATGCACACTGCAGTAATTCATTGCACTGAAATAATTCAGGTTTGACTGCATTTGCAATCCTGACTTGTCTGTTTTTCTTTCGTATTCTCTATTTACTTTTTAGCCTTTTGTTATTGGCTTTGAATGTAAACAACACACCTTAATTGCTACTTCAAACTGTCATGACTGCATGCTTTAACATAGCAAACTGTAAAAACTCTGCAAGAGTCTCGGTACTATTGCAAGGCACTGTACTGTAACTGCACTGCAGGCATGATAAATTGTAGCCACTGCAAACTGTAGAAATCTGATCTTTCATTGAGTTACTCAGACGTTTGCTTGACAAACTTTGAACATTACTGTACATCTTTACATGCAAGAAAAA